TTTTGATACATTTGACCATCCCCTCCTCCTCAAAAAAACTCCACTCTCTTGGCCTCAGAGACCCTGCTCTCTCCTAGTTCTCCTCCTACCTATCGCAGTGCTCCTTCAGCGTTACCTATAACACTGCCTCCTCCTCTTCACTCCCTCTTTCCGTAGGGGTCCCTCAAGGTTCTGTCCTTGGACCCCTTCTGTTCTCCATCTACACCTCCTCCCTTGGTCACTTGATAAATTCCCATGGCTTTAAGTACCATCTCTATGCTGATGACACACACATCTATCTTTCTACCCCTCACCTCACCCCTTCAGTCTACTCTCGCATTACTATCCTACTAAGTGAAAAATCGGCATGGATGTCACTCCACTTCCCCAAACTCAATCTTTCCAAAACTGAGCTCTTAGTATTCCCCCCAGCCCGTGCCCCCTCCCCTGACTTCTCCATCAAGATCAATAACACAATCATCAGTCCCTCCCCTCATGCCAGGGTACTAGGTGTAATCCTAGACTCCCATCTGTCCTTTCAGTCCCAAATCCATTCACTGTCCAAATCTTGTAAACTTCACCTCCGCAACATCGCCGAGATATGCCCGTTCCTAGCCTCGAAAACCACTAAGCAACTTATTCACTCCCTTGTTATATCTCTCCTTGACTATTGTAACTCCCTCCTCATTGGCCTACCTAACCGCAGGCTATCCCCTCTTCAGTCTATCATGTATGCTGCTGCCAGACTCATCCACTTTACTAACCGTTCTGTATCTGCCACCCCTCTCTGCCAAAATCCTCCACTGGCTTCCCATTGCCCAATGGATAAAATTCAAAACATTAACAATAACGTATAAAGCCATTTATAACTCTGTCCCAAATTACATCACCAATCTTTTCTCTAAATATCACCCAAACTGTACTCTCTGCTCCTCGCAAGATCTCCTACTCTCTATCTCCCTTGTCTCCTCCTCCCATGCTCGTCTCCAGGACTTCTACAGAGCTTCCTCCATCCTCTGGAACTATCTACTCCAATTTATCATACTATCGCCTACTCTGCTCACTTTTAGGCAATCTCTTCAGGGAAGCCTATCCTGCCCTCGGCTAATAATGGAATCTTCTACTTCTCCTACCAGTCCATCCCCCCCACAGTTACTACCTTTTGTACCACTAGCCCCTCCCTCCTAGATTGTAAGCTCCAAGGAGCAGGGCCCTCCTATCCCTCTTGTATTGAACTGTATTGTTGCTGTATTGTTTCCCGTTATATTGTAAAGCGCTGAGAAAACTCTTGGCGCTATATATATCTTGCATAATAATAATACTTGTTCCACATTATTTATACAGAGAATTGAAGCCATATGATCAGCCAGACAATTAGCATTTTAGAGAGGGAAATCAGCAGAATTGTAAACTATACATTGAAAGTAGAATTATAATCTTAACCACTTTCATACTGCGTTATAGCCAAAAGACAGCTACAGCACAGCTCTCCAGTTCTGGGAGGGAGTCCATGGATGTCCTCTCAGAAGCGTGCTGCCCACTCTGCCCCTGGGGCATGCATCGGGAGCTCTCTGTGACTGCTGTGTCCCTCAGACACAGGACATCACAGATCAGAATATGGGCTCGTTTGCTCTCCTAATTATTTGATGGCTGTGTCCAAAACCAGCCATAAGACAATTTAAACAGAGGCATGTATCTCTGTATCAGCTCTCCCTCTGAGCTCAGTGAGAGCTCAGTGAGGAGGTGGAGAGAGGGAACATTTCAGCTTGTCAAGGATCTGTGTGTAGCTGCTGATTTTTTGGTGCAGCTACACACAGATCATTCAGAATGCAGCCATCTGTAAACGGTACACCAAGCACCATCTTTCACAGTGTGCACAGCAACATCTGTACCAGTGTTCCATCAACATCTGTCACAGTGTACCAATGCACATAAACCTCTGTCACAGTGTACCAGTGTCCCATTAACATCTGTCACAGTATACCAGTGCATAAACATATCTGTCAGAGTACCAGCGTCCCATCAATATATATCACAGTGTACAAGTGCACATCAACATGTGCAATAGTTGCTCATTGCAACATCAACATCTGTCATTGTCCCATTGCAACATAAACATCTGTCGGTGTCCCTAGTGGACTGTCAACATCTGTTGGTGTCCTAGGTAGACCATCAACATCTGTCACAGTGTACTAAAGTATAAAAACATTTGTCAGTGTACCAGTGTCCCATCAATATCTGTCACAGTGTTCCAGTGCACAAAAACATCTGACACAGTGTAGGAGTGTCCCATCAACATTTGTCACAGTGTACCAATGCACATCAACATCTTTCACACTGTACCAGTATCCATCAATATCTGCAATGGCATCCCACTGCAACATCAACATCTGCCAGTGCCCAATTGCAACATCAACATCTGTCAATGTCCCTAGTGGACCATCAACATCTGTCAGTGTCCCCAGTAGACCATCACCATCTGTCACAGTATACCAGTCACAAAAACATCTCTCAGTGTTTGTCAGTTTCCCATCAACAGCTGTCACAGTGTACCAGTGCACAAAAACATGTCAGTGTACCAGTGCCCCATCAACATTTATCACAGTGTACCAGTGTACATCAACATCTGTCACAGTGTATCAGTATCACACATCAACATCTGCAATAGTGTCCAATTTCAGCATCAACATCTGCCAGTGTCTCTAGTGAATTGTCAACATCTGTCGGTGTCCCTAGTGGACTGTCAACATCTGACAATGTTCTTAGTGGACTTTCAACATCTGCGATGTCTCTAGTGGACTGTCAACATCTGTCTGTGTCCCTAGTGGACCTTCAACATCCATCGGTGTCCTTAGTGGACCGTCAGCATCTGTCCCAGTCAGTGTCCCAATGGACCATCAACATCTGTCAGTGTCCCCAATGGACCATCAACATCTGTTGTGTCCCCAATGTGCCCAGTGGGCCGTCAACATCTCTCATAGTGTCCCAGGCCATGTACTAGTAGTGGGGTGTCATGTCCACCACAAAGAATTGGGGCTGTCCCACATATGAAATTGTCATACTCAGGAGGCGTAGCAGAATATGTTCTAAGTATGCCCGTGCTGTGTGTTAGAAATATCTTAGAAATTGACAACCTTGTGTAAAAAAATAAATTTTCATATTTTCAAAAAATGACTTGATGAATAGACTCATTATGCCTCATAGAAAATAGGTTGGGGTGGTTTGCTTTCCAAAATGTGGTAATTTTGTGGGTGTTTCCACTTGGTGAATTAGGGCCTCCAAAAATGTGATAGGTGGGCAGGAAATTAGATGTGCAATTTATGCACTTATAACTCCTGAAGGTGCTCCTTGGGTATTGAGCCCCTCTATGTGGGTAGGCTGTGAAAAATTTTACACATGTGGTATCATCATACTCAGGAAGAGTAGCAGAATGGATTTTAGGGTGTATTCCGTAGAATGTCCTTGCCACATGTTAGAAATATCTTATCAATTGGCAGCCTTTTTTTCATTTTCTTTCCACATTTTCCAAAAACTTGTGGCAAATAAGGACATGCTTAAAAGACTCATTATGCCTCATAAAAAATACATTCAGATGTTTTCTTTCCAAAGTGTTGTCATTTTGTGGGTGTTTGCATTGCCCTGATGCTCCAGGGCCTTCAAAAACGTGTGATAAGTAACCAGAAAATGAATGTGTAAGTAACGTGTAATTCCTGCTCCTTGAAAGGCCAAAGATGCGCTTTGGATTTGAGGTCCCTCTGTGTGGCTAAGCCTTTAAAAAATCTCACATGTGCGGTATTGCCATACTCAGGAGTACCAGAATATATTTGGAGGTTTAATTGCAAGTATGTCTATGCTGTGTGCGAAAAAAAATGGTAATTTCTTAATTTACAAAGAATTGTGTACCATAGTTTGTAGACTCTATAACTTTCACCCAGACTAAATAATATACACTGATTTGTGTTATGTTTTACCAAAGAAATGTAGCAGAATAAAGTTTGGCCTAAATTTATGAAGAACAATTATTTATTTTCAAAATTACAGAAACTAAGAAATACCGTATTTGCCGGCGTATAAGACGACTGGGCGTATAAGACGACCCCCAACATTTCCACTCAAAATATAGAGTTTGTTATATACTCGCCGTATAAGACTACCCCTCTTTCTTTTTGCTGGTGCCATGATAGGGTTGATAGGGGTTTGACTGCTGGACATTTTCTATGCTGTATTGTACTGTACAATGGTGCAGTACTGTGGTTGGCTGTATACAAAGCCTGATTGGATTGGTCCCTGCTCCCTGTCTGCCCTCCCTGTCTCCATGTCACTACCATGTCCCTGCATCTCCCTGTAATTGGCACTAGTGCGCAAATCCGCATGTGCGAGCTCTGAGTAGACAAGGGGCGGGCCGGAGTGCCGCTGCTTCCCGCCGAGCAGAACGGGCCGGTCACGCCGAAAAGGCTGGCACCCCTGTATCACTGCTGATGCTCGCCGCAGCCACGCTGATGACCCGCCGCCGCGGCTGGTATGTAGAATGAGGTGGGCGGGCATCGGGAGGCCACTATGGGCACCGGGCGAGTATCGGAAGGCCACTATGGCAGCTATGTCTATCCCAACTGAAGTGCACCCGGCGTATAAGACGACCCCCCACTTGGAGGCATGTTTTTCAGGGCAAAAAAGTCGTCTTATACGCCGGCAAATACGGTAGGTGTGTTTTTTTATTTCAACACTTTTGGTCTTATTTCATTTATATGGCAAAAAGCAAAAAACCCAGTGGTGATTAACTACCTGCCGACCGCAGATAGCCGAATGACGGCTGCACTGCGGCCGGCCAGTTCTGGGTGGACGTTATATGACGTCCTCCCAGAACGCGCTCTCCTGCGCGCCCCAGGGGGCGTGCACCCGGCGATCTCCGTGATCGCTGTGTCCTACGGACACAGCTGATCACGTGATGTGGTAAAAGGCCAATCACAGCGGCCTTTTACCACGTGATCAGCGGTGTCCAATGACACGCTGATCAGAGGAAAATGCAAGTGCCGGTTCTCGGCTGCACTTTCCTCACGCTGTCAGATCGTGAGGAAAGTACTGCCGAGAACCGGCAGTTGTCAGAGCGGGGATCGGCACCAATCATCAGGGCACTGATGATCAGTGCCCTGATGATCGGTGCCCAGCAGTGCCACCCGCAAGCTCCACCCACCTGTGCCCAGCAGTGCGCCCACTAGCTCCGCCCACCTGTGCCCAGCAGATCACCCACCTGTGCCCAGCAGTGCACCCACCTGTGCCCAGCAGTGCACCCACCTGTGCCACTCTGCAGTGTCACACACCTGTGCCCAGCAGTGCCACCCACCTGTGCCCAGCAGTGCCACCCACATGTGCCCACCCACCTGTGCCCACCCACCAGTGCCCACCCACCAGTGCCACCCACCAGTGCTGCCAGTCAGTGCCACCAGTTAGTGCCCAGGGGTTGTGCCAGTCAGTGCCGCCAGTCAGTGCCCAGCAGTGATGCCAGTCAGTGCCGTCTATCAGTACCCATCATCAGTGTCACCTATCAGTGCCGCCTATCAGTGCTGCATATTAGTGCCGCCTATCCGTGACACCTGATTAGTGCTGTCTATCATTGCCGCCTATCCGTGCCACCTCATTAGTACTGCCTATCAGTGCCCTTTAGTGCTGCCTATCAGTGCCCATCAGTGCTGCCTATCAGTGCCCATCAGTGCTGCCTCATCAACGCACATCAGTGAAGGAGAAAAATTACCTATTTGAAAAATTTTATAATAGAAACAAAGAAACTTTTTTTTTTTTTTTCAAATTTTTTGCACTTTTTGTATTTATAGCGCAAAAAGTAAAGCGCCCAGTGGCGATTAAATACCACCAAAAGAAAGCTCTATTTGTGAGAAAAAAATGATCAAAATTTCATATGGGTACAATGTTGCATGACCACGCAATTGTCAATCAAAGTGCGGCAGCGCTGAAAGCTGAAAATTGGCCTGGTAAATAAGGGGGTATAAGTGCCTGGTAGGCAAGTGGTTAAATACCACCAAAGTAAAGCTCTGTTTGTGTGAAAAAATGATAAAAATGTCAAATGGGTATTGCATCACTGAGTGATTGGCATTCAAAGTGTGAGAGCGCTGAAAGCTGAAAATTGGCCTGGGCAGGAAGGGGGTGAAAGTGCCCAGTATTAAAGTGGTTAATCAAGAACCATACAGATCAATTTATTAATCATAGTACCAATATAGCAGAAAAATGTGGGACTTGAAATATGCTACCCAGGAAATCATAAATAGTCACAGAGAAATCAGAAGTAAAAAGTTGAAATGTTTTATTGAATAGATAATGTTTAAAAACTACTGAAAGACTCCAACTGTCAATAAATACATAAAATACAATGATCATATAAGGTGGATGATGTATAGGTATGCTTGGGTACCCATTTTGGGCAGATCTGTAAAACACATAGATATAATACACTACTAGAAGCGTATGTTACCTATTTATTGAAAGTTGGACTCAGTAATTTTAAACTATGTCTATTCAATAAAAACATTGTTACTCTTTCCTTCCCTGTGACTATTTGTGATTTCCAGATATATTTTCCATATTTAAAGTCATACATTTTTTCTGCTATATGGTGCATATTTTATGCACTTATTTAGGAACAAAGAGAAATTGATTGGTATTTAATGATAAAATTATTGTAATACTGTAGGAAGGCTTTAAAGGTAGGAAACTCGGTTCACACTCCTGCCACATAGGATCTTGTGAGACCCAAAGTTGCAGGACATGTGAAATGCCATGTATCTCTATGAGAGCAGTTCTGATTGACACTACTGAAGTCGCTGCTACTTCAGAAAAGGTTCCTGCACTACTTTGACATGACTTTGATACTTTAGTGCCACACAGTGGAAAGTCTTTTCAAAGTCATTTCAAAGTCGGACTCCAAAGGTGCACTAAAAAATTGGAGGACTTTGGAGTCAGCTAGTGTGAACCAAGCCAAAGGCTGCAATGAAATGTATTTGTACCACCCTCCTAGTTAGCTAGGAGGAGCCAGAGTCCTGATTGTTAGAGAGAAGGGCTGATTAGCAGCCTGGGTGCAATAGTCAGGAGGTCAAATTGTGGTAAGGGCTGAGAGGCTCTGCAGGACAGCCCCTCTGGAATTTCCCCCTGCTCTAGAGCTTTGGAGGAAGCTCTAGAAGCAGTGGATGGATGTGAGGAATGGCTGCCCTGTACTCTTGAGGGATTCTGGCCAATCCCCAACAGGAGGCTTGGCAAGGGGCCAGGACAACCCTTAAAAGTAAGTGAGCCTGCTCAGCAGCAGGAGAATTTAGGTGGAAGACAGAGAGGAAGATATGAGGCTGAAGCCAGGAGCCTGGAAAGGGACCCAGATGGAGAGAGGGGCCCACCTGCAGGCAGTGGAGCTAAAAAGGAAGAAATCTCAGAACTTCACTGGCCCCTAGAGTGAGCACCACCTGTACAGCAGGAAAGGAAAATCCCAGCTAGAAAACCTGGTAGCAGCCACCAACCCATCATCAGTACAGGAGAGGATCTGAGTGAGTATCCCTGCTCCCCCTGGGTGGATAGGGGAAGGAGCACTCTGGTGGGAAACCTGGTGGGATGCAAGCCTGTGTGAAGATGCGTGTTGCCTGGCTGTGAAGGACTATAGGGGGACCTGAAATCTCCTTTGTAACTCCTAAGGGGGTAGTGCTATATATTTATTTGATTTATTTGTCAAATGTACAGTCCCATCAAAACTGAAAATCACATCTGCATGCTGGCAGAAAGCATGCAAAATTGCATGTGGTCCTGCAGCACACCAAAAATTGTGTCCTTCTTGCCAGCATGCTGCAGCAATATCTATTCTTAATGCCACCTTAATTCACCTTGCTAATGCTTGTGGTCATAGCAAGCCAAAAATTGTAATTACATATTTTGGGTGAAACACATTTAAAAAAAAAGTAAGTGCACCCACTTCTTTGATGTATTTGTCATACGTTGGTTGTCTCATTAAAATTAACATGCATGCACTGTCGCACAGGTTTGAACCTAAGTTTAAAGGATAAGTTCACCTTTTGACAAAAAATTTAAAAAGCTAATTTTTTTTTGCAGGTAAGAAATGTGCATTTATTATTTTTTTGTTGTGGGAGCATGCAAAGAATTGCACCAGCGATCAACAGATCGCTGGTCCCATGCAAGTCTCCTGCAGACCTGTCAGTATATCTGCTTACCTGTACGGGAAATATGGCCAAGCAGATTTACTGACAGGAAGAGTCAATGAACTACTCACTGCTGACAGAGCCGTGGTAGTTCATCAAACACTACAAGCTGTCGGGATTTGTAGTTTTTTTCATTTACAGAGGATTGTGAATGAGTGACTGGCTGTGTTTTTCAAAAAGTGGGGAGTGGTGGAAGCAGGGGCCGGTCCATTCAGAACAAGTTACATGGTACACCCTGAGTATGAATGTAACACGTAACATGTTGTGAAGGGTGAACTTGCCCGTTAAACTATAACATGTATACAGGGAATATAACCAGTGTGCACCAATACACACCATTAACTTTTATCCTGAGATCTGGGAATCTTTTTTGTTTCTCTGTTCATATTGTACAGCCAATAATATATACCTAGTGCAGGTTACCTGTTGTTTCTTAATTTTTCTTTTAGAATGCATTTTATTGTTTTTTTTTAACAACATACAAAACAACCATGCAAAATAAATCAAACAACAAAGTTAATTTATATGGCAAAAATACAGTCTCATGAATTACAGTCTGTTAATTAATAGATACTTAGTAGATTCTATAATGAGTGTAGTTGATCCATACAAGGTAAGGAATGTCAATATCATCTAGAGACAGAGTAATATTCATGGTAGTTTCTCTTTAAAGCAGAATTTACTGAGTCTAAATAATTTACAGGATCTAAACACAAAATAATTGCCCACAGACACTTAACAGTTCTAGCAGACAGATCGCTAGGAAAGGCCTGGAACCAATACTACACAGAGGGCATTGAGTCATAGATGGTCCTGTATGCCAGGTGTTTCCTCACATGTAGCAGCTTAGGAGTAATTCTGCTTCTCTGAAAAATGGTTTGTGTGTAAAGAATGAGATGATTGATATCACAGCACAAAATGTCAGCATTAGTTTCCAAAGCACAGGTCTCCACTTAATGTGTATGTAAAGGTAAAACTTTTCTTTTTTTTTTGGCATAGCACAGGACAGGGCTAGACTGTCATTTTTTTGTCTGTGTCCCAGATGGAGAGAATTATCCCTTTATTTATCCTGGTACCATTCTTTCACATGATAGACAGTGAACTGAAAGCACCAAAAAGGAATGTCTAGCATATATGATACCTGGGACAGATGCTTTTTAAACATCGCCCTTCACATTCTTTAGTATATCAAACAGTTTTTTAAGTTACAATCATGAAATGGTATTTTTTTTTTTTAAGGTGAGGTCACTGCCACTGTGAAAATGGATGCAGGATTGACAAAGGGTTCACACTAATGCAGAGAGTGGGGCCCAGGCATGTTTTATTATGAACTGGGGTTTCAGTTTTCTTTGAGTTTTGTAATCATGTATCTGATGTTTGAAGGCTTAAAAGTGTCTTGGGTGGGGTGGAACCTTCAATCTTGTGCCAGAGCTTATTGGAGACTTGCAGGTGGTGTGAGTGTACAGGAGGTACACTCATTATAAGCAAGGCTTGGGTAAAGCTCAGAGCCCCAGCCAGGAGGAAGCTGTGCTTCCAGTTGAAGACAGGTTTGATCCTGTCTGGAGACAGAGGTGGTCTACACAAACTAATGCACGCTATGTTGGGGGATTCCTTGCCCACAGGATTGGGAGAGTCAGGGCAACTGTGAAAGTCTGGTTAGACTCAGAAAGAGCTGAGTCTCAGAAGAATGAGAATGCCTTTGGTGTTGGGGAACCCCTTTCAAGAGGCCAGTAGTGGGTCCATACAGCAGGAAGCTGTGACTGCATGCAGAGTGAGCCAGGAGAGAGTTCAGAGTCAAGTGAGCTGAAGATGATCTGAGGGACTGGCATTGACTTCACTAAAATGCATCTACCACTGAAGTAATCAATTCCCCATATCACTATCTATCTATCTATCTATCTATCTATCTATCTATCTATCTATCTATCTATCTATCTATCTATCCACACATTACATATATGAAGGGTTTAATAATGGTGTACAAAGTGCACTGTGGCAAAACATGGAGATAATGTCAGCTTGCTTTGTTATTGACATGTCTTCAGGGAACTAGATTACAATAATATTGCTCTTATCCAGAGGACTTGACAATATTTAGGTGGCCAGCAAATGGGCAATCATTGCAATTTGCAGGCAGAAAATGGGCAATTGCTACAATAAGCAGTTAGAAAATGGGCAATTCAAACAAAATGCTGACAACCAATGAGCAATTGTAACATGAAAAAAGGGAGTTGTGATATCTTATGGACAATACATGGGACAATTGTGACAATATGCTGGCAACAAAGGAAAAATTTAGACAATACA